TGCACAGTAAATAAATCACAGTAAATGAATCACAGTACATAAGAAAATAAATATCAAAGTCAACGGTTCTCGAGCATCTGTAACATACAAAGGATTAGTAACAAGAGAGGGGACACAACAACATGCACAATAAATAAATTAATAATATACACAGTAAATAAATCACAGTAAATGAATCACAGTACATAAGAAGATAAATATCGAAGCCAATGGTTCTCGAACATCTGTAACATACAAGGGATTAGTAACAAGAGAGGGGACACAACAATATGCACAGTAAATAAATTGATGGTTGTCGAATGCCTGCAACAAACAATGGGGGTTAGTAACAAGAGAAAGGACGAGTATGAGACGCGCGCCCACCCACCGCGACGGCTCACGAGAAAGTGAGGAAGCTAACGCCGTTATGTATTGGGCGTACGCAGGTTTGTTCGTGTTAATTTGTTTTTTCCGGCTTGAACGACCTTCCTTGAACGACCCAAACACCGGATGGTATAGCCAAGTACGGCTATGGTACACGGCGTACACGGCTAGGTCAATAAACTGTCGGACGCAACGTCAGTAGTGCGTTGGACCGACGGAGAGCACCGATACCGCGGCACGCTCTACCGTACTCTCTCGCTCGCACACTTCCCCTCATAGACCACTGAAATTCCTCAGCACGCGTCGACACCGACGGAGAGCACCGATACTGCGGCTCGCTCTATCGATCTCGCTCTCTCCATTTCGCCCGTTCCGATAATCTTCGGCCTCGTTCGGTACGCGTCGACACCGACGGAGAGCACCGATACCGCAACTCGCTCTACCGCTCTCGTTTATTTATGATGTTCATATTCCCCAAATAAATATCATATTTAACTAATTTGTTTAAGCGACATGTTCCTTTTAAAGATTTAGCTCTCCAGTATAAATCCCTAAGACCCTTATTTATTATTCATTTCACAAAATAATTGCAAATATGAAACTTTTTTACCTCTTCTTGAACATTCTAATTTCATAGCCCTAAACTGG